TGTCTGTATAATGTTTTTCATAAGTATTTGAGAGATGAAAATAACCTGTATGTAGTAACGAAGTAATGAAGAAAGAGAGCAATTTGAAAGCGAGCCAACTCTGCCCCTGGACAAAATCGAGCTCCTCCTCCAAACGGAGCATAAAATGGACTGCTTCTCTAATTTCTCTTTTCCTTTATATAGGAAACAAAACAAAAACAAAAACAAAAACAAAAACAAAAAAATAGCTTTTATTTATTTATTTTCAAGAGTAGATGAAAGCAAAGTGGTAATATGCAAACAATAAGTCTAGAAACACATAAATCAAATACAGAACAAAACAAGACACAAAATACATCAACGGACACAAATTTTCAAAAGTAGGTCCCATCAACAAATGCTGTAAGTCCTATCCATTCATGTGTTTTTATGTCCGGTTCTGTATTCCTAAACTTGCTATTATGTAACATATAGATATATACATAGTATAATTAGCGAATCTAATAGCGAATCTAAGTGCGCATCTCTATTTGACTGACCTGATTCAAAGGGTCCATCCATCTCCATGGATTGAAAGTGATTGCTCCTTCATACAAATTTTCATCTAAATGGACTGCTGAAAGAAATGGAACCACAAAACATCCTTTGGGAATGACATAACCTGCAGCCAAGCAACATAAATGAAAAGAGATTAATTAGTCAATTATTTGTTCTTGCCGAATACATTTTCTATTTTTCTAATCAAAGGAGGGGGGAAAAACATTCGAAATATCTTAAGCTTTTACAGAGAATAAACTAAACTCCAAGTAATTGAGATTAAGGTTATTTAAGTAACACTTGCCAACAAGTGAGCTTGTTAAGGCTGGAGCCTTTACCACACTTTTGATTATCAATTCAATATGTTTTCTGAGGATTGTAAAATTCAACTCAACCAAAAGAACTCTTAACCAACTATTCTCGTTTGACGAATCGTTGTTAATAATATATTTTCTAGTCTTAACCCGTCTTTTAGGCCTCCTTTATGCAACAGCATGTAGCTACTATACAACTTAAGCCTCTTATTGAATGATAGGTTGTTGATTCACTTAGTAGTCATCCCGCTGTACGGCCAATGTCACATCAACAACAATCTCATGCATTTTCATCCCAAGAGGTGAGCAATCATTTAATCAAAGTTTTTTTTGACAATACAATATCTTATTAATTAAAATACTTGTTCTGATTAAATATAGGTTCACCTTTCAAAGAAAGAGAAGAAGAAGAAGAAGAAGAAGAAGAAGAAGAAGAAGAAGAAGAAGAAGAAGAAGAAGAAGAAGAAGAAGAAGAAGAAGAAGAAGAAGAAGAAGAAGAAGAAGAAGAAGAAGAAGAAGAAGAAGAAGAAGAAGAAGAAGAAGAAGAAGAAGAAGAAGAAGAAGAAGAAGAAGAAGAAGAAGAAGAAGAAGAAGAAGAAGAAGAAGAAGAAGAAGAAGAAGAAGAAGAAGAAGAAGAAGAAGAAGAAGAAGAAGAAGAAGAAGAAGAAGAAGAAGAAGAAGAAGAAGAAGAAGAAGAAGAAGAAGAAGAAGAAGAAGAAGAAGAAGAAGAAGAAGAAGAAGAAGAAGAAGAAGAAGAAGAAGAAGAAGAAGAAGAAGAAGAAGAAGAAGAAGAAGAAGAAGAAGAAGAAGAAGAAGAAGAAGAAGAAGAAGAAGAAGAAGAAGAAGAAGAAGAAGAAGAAGAAGAAGAAGAAGAAGAAGAAGAAGAAGAAGAAGAAGAAGAAGAAGAAGAAGAAGAAGAAGAAGAAGAAGAAGAAGAAGAAGAAGAAGAAGAAGAAGAAGAAGAAGAAGAAGAAGAAGAAGAAGAAGAAGAAGAAGAAGAAGAAGAAGAAGAAGAAGAAGAAGAAGAAGAAGAAGAAGAAGAAGAAGAAGAAGAAGAAGAAGAAGAAGAAGAAGAAGAAGAAGAAGAAGAAGAAGAAGAAGAAGAAGAAGAAGAAGAAGAAGAAGAAGAAGAAGAAGAAGAAGAAGAAGAAGAAGAAGAAGAAGAAGAAGAAGAAGAAGAAGAAGAAGAAGAAGAAGAAGAAGAAGAAGAAGAAGAAGAAGAAGAAGAAGAAGAAGAAGAAGAAGAAGAAGAAGAAGAAGAAGAAGAAGAAGAAGAAGAAGAAGAAGAAGAAGAAGAAGAAGAAGAAGAAGAAGAAGAAGAAGAAGAAGAAGAAGAAGAAGAAGAAGAAGAAGAAGAAGAAGAAGAAGAAGAAGAAGAAGAAGAAGAAGAAGAAGAAGAAGAAGAAGAAGAAGAAGAAGAAGAAGAAGAAGAAGAAGAAGAAGAAGAAGAAGAAGAAGAAGAAGAAAAAGAAGAACTAACAAGGTAAAAGTACTAACATCACTAGTTTAAGCTGATAATAATATTCATAAATCAATAGTGTTAAAGACATGTTAGGCAAATGCTTTTTTGAGTTGAGAATGATGTTATTCATAAATCATATACATTGTTTTTAAGTATCAAGTGGTTTTCACAAGTATGGTTTATTCTTCTTCTCCTACATTGTGTTTGGAAAGTGTCTAAGAAAAAGAAACAGTGTTGTGAGAATGTCCAACACACATTAGTTGAGAAACATACTCAAGTTTTCTTCCCAAAGTTCCTGTAGTTCATGTAACAGTTATTAGACACCAAGAGTAACTAGAAAACACTGACTAATAATAAACTCTAGAAGAAGCCAAGTTTTCTATTTTCTTTTATTTTATCTTGCCCTTTATTTTTCTTTCTCCCTTTTTTTTCCCATCCTATTTGTAGGAAGAAAGAAGAGGTTGTGGCGACAAAACAAAAAATGACACCAAACCATCACCATATGCATTCTTTAAATAACTTATTAGTTTAAAGGGGTAATATGGTCATTTTGAATAGAAAAGTAACGGTGTTTCTACTAAATGAATGGATTGGGAGAATCCTAATATTGTCAGCAAAAGTAAGGGAAGTTTCTGTTATTATTAAAACTATAAGGGAGGTCATTTTATTTGTCAGAAACCTCAGAGAAGGTAAGTGTAATTTACCCTTTTTTTTTTCTTTTTTCTTTTTCTTAAGATTTTTGGTTTTTAAAAAGAAAGACTAGTGAGCCTAATACTACAGAGGAGGGCCAAAGCCAGAAGACATTTCTAGTTATAAGGGATTTGACATTGGAACTTTTTTATGTTAAAATGTAGGGGGCCCATCGGCTTTGGAACCCACATAGGCTGATGAAAGGCCGGTGGTGCAAGCCCCTACATGTGCCCCAGTCAGTTATTTTGGGAATTGATTTTTTTAATAATATTTTTAATTTTTTACAAAAAAAATATATATATATATATAAAAAAAAAATAGAAAGAACAAGTAGACTTCTATTGTAATTTTTTTGGATTATATTAGCCACTTCGCAAACACTTGGCATTTTGACCAAGGATTGGCCTAAGAGATTACTTTTGGATTTGAATTTTACTGTTTTGTAGTATAGTTTCTCATACCCTATTGTCCTCCTAAATAATTGTTGAAGAAATTGGGAAGCTCATAAATGCGCAGCAATACGGTACAATTTGTCCAGAATAGTTTGTGAGGGTTCAACAAATGCTCCAAGTCCAACTTCCATTGTTTAGAATTACTCATAACTACTTAAAATTTTAAGCATATGAACCATGAATGAAATGTATATTAACTTATTCTTTTACATTTTATTTGATGTGAGACTCTTATTTATAGTATTTATAGTGAGTTAATCCAAGAAAACATAGGGGGATTGAGTTGGTCAATTTCAATTTGTGATGAGCCCTTTGTCGCCAAAACTTTTTGAGAAAAAAGTATTTTAACAAAACCCACAGCCAGTCAACTAGATGATGACCAAGATACAATCAAGAAGGAAAAAAAAAACACTCGTCTCTTTATCCTAAGGCTTCTCTACAGTACATGACCAGGTCTGAGAAACCCATCACACAGTAGAAATGTGGCTTGGAACAAAGAAGAATCCAGACAGAGATTCTGGCCTCGAGAAATAGTTGAGAAGGAAAAACACAAACATGTGCAATTACACATACCCACCAAGTCCAAGTCTAATCCATCAAAGTGGGGTGAAGAAGAATTGGGTAGTTTATGTTGAGTCTATTAATGGTAAGTCTATTAATGGACCCCTTGACATTTAAGTTCCGACCTTCTTCTGTTTTCCCTGAATCAATGCACTCTGCCCTGCCCAGCCGGGATTAATACAATGGCTTGGTGTGGAAAGTGAGTTGGCTTTTTAACTTTTTTTAACCTGAGGCTAAAAAGTTTGGTTGGGGAAGAGTTTTTGGCTTTTTTTAATTTTGTTTGAGAAAAAGAATGTAATGATTATAGGTTAGATTTGATATTTTGTCTTATTGAGTTAAAAAACTTGTTTTGTTTTTTGTGACTATTTTAGCCCAAAAAAAACCTCCAAACCCACTTTCCAAATAGACACAATCTTACCCTTACCCTGGTAATAATTAGTCAGCAAGAGCTTTCAAGTTATTCACCTATATATTATATTAATATTATAGTATAAAACTATGTTATATAATATATCAAAATGTTGTCCAATTTCTTCTCCTCCTCTTGGTTTCATTTGAGAGCTAGATTTAACGTTTGCTTCGAGTCCGGATGAGAAACTAGAGAGAGAAAGTAGACCACGAGAGAGAGAGAGAGAGAGAGAGAGGGTCATACATGTCTGAGCCCGCACTTTTTGTGATCTATTCATCTTCTCTCTATTTGTCCTAAAAAGTCTTAGATCACTCGTTTTTCCTCTGAAATTTACACAGACCCACATACATATACCTCCAGATTTTGTAGCCTGAGGTACAGATCTCCGATCTCACTTTTCTACACCTTCAAATCTTGTATTTATGTATGTTTATTCACTGTTCTAGGTGTATGTTCATGTATAGAGCTCAATTTAAACCTTTTGCTTCATCATTTCTTAATTTTCTATTAGATTTCTAGGTTTATGGTAATTTTGAGCTCTATTCCAGCCATCAAAGACACGTTTTTTTGAAGTCATTTCCGAAACATACTTTGAACATAGGATCAGTGGGTCTGGTTTGGCTGACTGACTCTGGACCAAAATGAACTTGTTGACAGATTGTGAGAGTATGGCCTCAATTGGTATTTAATATGAAGACCATCACCATCTAATTTGGGTAGTTGGTTTAGAAAACGGTCTAATATTGTGATGTCAGGTTATGTTGTTAATTTTGACTTCAAAAAATGGAATTATATCATTCTAAAGATTAAAATGGAATTAATTGAAATTAATACATGGTTAATAACAACAATAACCATGTATTAAAATGGAAAACAGTTAGATATTTGAAATTAATAACAACAATAACCATGTATTAAAATGGAAAACAGTTAGATATTTGAAATTAATTGTGCAATCAGGTGGCGTTTTATACTCAATTTTGTACTTTAGAATGATATAATTCCATTTTAATCTTTGACTGCATTGTTCAAAGGTATATCAGTAATTTCATATCTTGTATATGGAAGTTAAATTCTATTCCACCTGTTTCCTCGTTGTTTCCTCGTGCAACTTCTGTATCTAAATCTAATGAATTCCAATTAATTTGACTGTCATGCAGGCCCCTTACTACTGTCAGCAGCCTGAGTTTTGATTACTTGCAAAACCATTGATTGACAATTTAGATGGGAAATCTCTGTATAACAGAATTGAATACAGGCTAGCCAGTACTTTCTCCATAGCTGAAAAGGGTTACCTACTATTGTATCCATGATAGCCCCCTTGGTCTTGGACTCTCTTATATTCTTGGAACCTTATCAGCATAGAAGTCTTAAAATTTTGCGGTTCCAAATTATTTTGTCTGTGATTTTCTTTTCTATTAGGGAGTGAAGGATAATACTAGTTGACTTTCGTTTATTATATTTTTTAATTTATGTTTGCGTGGCTATCATATACATACAGTTCAGTCATATTGAGTTCAGTGAGACTGTGCTTTCTTCTTTCTATTTTTTGTCAAGTGATTATTTTATGCTTCATTTATTATTTCAATGGGAGTTATTGTATTTGAATGGAAGTTGGATATTAATTGAATAAGAAACTGAATTAATGTTTCATTTTTTGTTATTTGAAACAGGTATTTTTTTTAATTCAATCAAATAAAAATTCGTACAATTTTCACAAAAAAAAAAAGAGGGGATATGACGGCGTTTCTACAAACGCCTTCTAAACTGTCAATATTTTTTGAAAACAGATACCACGGCGTTTCAAAAACGTCGCTAAATATTGTTGGTGACGTCAGCAAGTGTATAGTGGGACATTTGGCGGCGTTTATTAAAACGCCTCCTATACTAATATCACGGCGTTTTTAAAACGTTGCAAAGATACAGTGACGGCCGCAGCTTCGACGTTTGGTATAAAACGCCACTAAAGGAATTAGCGGCATTTTTGATAGATATAGCGGCGTTTTTTAAACGCCACTAAAAGTCCAATTTCCAGCAGTGGTTGGACCATCTTTAGGGGTTAACATTGATAGAGCTAAGAAACTTCCCGATCTTTGCAAAATTGATCTTCGCGGAATAACCATTGACTTTACTATTGATTGCAGCACAATTCCGTACGTAACACATCTTACTCACTCTATGTTAACTATTTGCTTATCTATGTCACTAGACTTTCGTGATTTCAGCAAATTAACCTGAGTTGTGAAAGATGTGTTGAAAGATTTACACAATATTAGTCCTTTTCTGCTTTGTTCCTTTTTCTGATATTACTTATTGTGGAAAGATCTTTAGATTTTGTTTTGTGTTAAAGATTTTTCATGTTCCCATGCAGAGTTTAATGGATGGGTGAGGAAGGATGCACATGACAAGGACAAACCTTGGCCAGCGACAACAAAGATAATGCTTAGTTGTTATGTTCTAATTAGGACAATTTGAAATTTCTTTGTATGGACAATTATAATATGAATAAATTTGTTATCTTTTCTGGAGATTTCCTTCCCTTCCTTTTTCCTTTTTCCTTACCAACATTTGCAGTAAAGAAATTGTGGTACCCCTGTGTAGAGGAAAAACTTCTCCACAGATTAGTTGATACAACATACCTTTCAATATCGGATTCGGAAAATTCTGGTTCGGATGCATGGTTTGGAATGCTTGCAGTTTGGATACACACCAATTTACCAATGAGATACATATCATTGGACCAAACCTGATTTTGAAGGAAATATTGTTTAGCTTTTAAACTAGAACTGTATTTAATTTTATTTTTTTTTGTGTGTGTTTTTTTTTGAAAACTTCTAGTTCGGATACAAGGAATTTATTGCATATCATCTGACCAAACTAGACAAGTTACTAGTTTTTTGAGGGATATATCACTACAAAAAAAGGGGGCATAGAACACGAAAGTATTTGCGACGGCACCACTTAAAGTCGCAAAAAGTGAGTTTTTGCGATGGCACCACTCATTGTCTCCAATAAATCGGGTTTCAACGACGGTACCACTCCCTGTCACAAAAAAGCAAGTTTTTGTGGCGGCAACAACGACAGTCGGAAATAATGTGCGTTTTTTGCAACGGCAACCCCTGTTGTCACAAATAAAGCCATTGTTTGCGACTACAATCCCCCCGTCGCAAATACAAAATTAGTTAAACAATGTCGCTTTATTCTTTAAATTTTCATTTGCGATGGTGAAACTTGACGTCGCAAAAAAAAAAAAAAATCGAAAATCTGAAAACTCAGCTTTTTTTTGCCCTTCACGCTTGTTTTTCCCCCCTTCAACCAAAAATCCCCAACCTAAAAAATCCCTAACCTTTTGAACCAAAAACCCTATCTCTGTCTCTCTCTGTCTCTCTCTTCTCACGACTCTCTCGACTATGAGTAGTGGCAGACGACGGCGAGCATCGAACCGACGGTGTCGAGCGACGGCAGCGAGCAGCATGCAACGGCGGATTTCTTGGGTTCCCAGTCGCAGCATCATCCAAGCCGTCCATTCGACCTACATCCCTTGTCATCAGTACTAATCGGACGTTCTGGATTCGTTGCCAAGACCATGCCATTGCGCCCTTGGAACAGCGGTGGATGTTTGATGAATCTATTGCCAAAGGGCCAGTAAACTCTCTCTCTCTCTGAGTGTGGTCTATTTTATGCTTTGTTTGGTTACTGGGAAAATGCTGGAACAAAAAAGAAACTAATTATGTCATTGTTTTCTAATATGCTCGTTTGGTTACTGAGAAAGTGTAGGAAACGAGAAGAAAATTCATAAATTCGAAATTTAGATATTTCATTGGTTGAGAATCTTGGGGGGGGGAAAAAAAAAAATCTCACTGAGCTTGTTGAACTCAATTCCTCAATTCTTGAAAGCCAGGTATCTAGAACTTCAAGTCCCAAAATTCCCCCATCCCCGAAAGAAACCTTCAGAACCATCCATTGCAGGCCAAGTTAGTGATAATTATGATTTTAATTCGTTGGGCTTCATGATAATATCAAATATGAATCGAAAAAATAAAAAATAAAACTTATGAAGAAGAAGCAGAAGAAAAAGAAGACTCAAATAACTGGTTTAAGCTTACTGTGCTAAGCTTAACTCTGTGGAATTATTGGAGTCACATTGTGGTGCCGAAATGGTGGTTCCAAATTGGGTTAAACAGCAGCATTGCAAAGGTTGAAATGAGGTCTTTTGTTGCTGGAAAAGCATTGATTTGATGGTCATTGGTACAATCCTTTGTTTGGGCAGTGTTGATGAGTTACATAAAGTGGGCTTGACAGCTGCATCATATTTCATGCTGTTGCCCAGGTAACTCTTATTATCTTCTTTTTTTTTTTTTTTTTTTTTTTTTTTTTTTTTTTTTTTTTTTTTTTGAGTGTGCATGTGTTTTTTAAAACTGCTGGGGACTTGGGCTTATGCACGCTTTCTGTGGTGCAAGGATGATGTGAACTATGAACTACTATTTTACTATTATCAATCTGCTGGTGTGCACACCCTCTCTTTAGAAAATGGATGGAAAGAAGGGTTAAGTTTTGGAGAAAATGGATGGAACCAATAGTTAAGTTTTGATACTTTACCCTTGCTGTGGTATATGGTCACGGTAGCCAACAGTGCTACATATTTGCTATTTTTTTTTTCCCCTTTTCCCATGTGTTCCCCTCCATGACCACCATATTATTTTTTGTTCTTCACAGTGGCAATTCTTGTAAACTGCAATTTCTGGGTTCTAATATTTGTTTGGACTTCTTGAAAAAGATGGCTTATATTTTTAAGTTTTGGAGAAAATGGATGGAACCAAGAGTTAAGTTTTGATACTTTACCCTTGCTAGCCAACAGTGATACGTATTTGCTATTTTTTTTTCCCTTTTCCCATGTGTTCCCCTCCATGACCACCATATTATTTTTTGTTCTTCACAGTGGCAATTCTTGTAAACTGCAATTTCTGGGTTCTAATATTTGTTTGGACTTCTTCAAAAAGATGGCTTATATTTTTCATGTTGTTGATTCAATCGTGGAATATATTGCTATATTGTGTTACACACACAGTCAACTCTACTAGACTTGGTGGCCAAAATATAAAGAATCGAACCTGGATTTTGTTTATTTATTTATTTTGGGTTAATGGAACCTGGATATAATGTACGTGTTTATTTTGGGTTGATGGAACCTGAATGTCCTGTTTACTGTTAGTTTTTTAATCTTCAGTTCCCTCAAATTGGCAGGAAAAATTGAAGTGTATTCAAATGGATCAGCGTGAATACACAATGGATGATGAGGACAGGAAGGTGCAGGATGTGATCCTCAGACCAGATCCCTCAAATAATGACACCATGGTCTTGAAGAAAACTCTATCTTGTTCCTACCCAAACTTGCCTTTTAATGAGGCACTTTAAAAAGAAAATGAAAAGCTTCAGTTAGAACTACAACCTCACAAGCCAATTTGGATGTGGGCCAATGCGAAGTAATTCAGCATCTGATTGACGTCACAAAGGTTGTTGCTGCAAATTCTCAGTCTGAGAAGAGTTCGCCCAGGAGAAATTCCAAAAAAGGTGGAGCTGAATTATTCTGATGTTAATAATGATAAGGAACATTCATATGATGAAAGCTGTGCTAACAAAAGTGCGAGTCACTCAACTTTGAGGTTTATTTTCTCTTCTGTATAAGATGGTGAATTTAAATTCTAATTGCTTAAAATGCACCTTCTATAGTGTCAAACGACTTGTATTGGCTCATTGCCTGTCAAACGACTACATAAGTAACATTACATTTCATCCCCTTCACTTCAATTAATATACAAAAAGTCTCAATGTGATTTTGACTTTTTAACTCTATGGTCTATTTTATTAAAAAATTCATCCAAACTAACGAAAAGTGATTTAATATACACTTTCTAACAAAGTCAAAAGTACACTTTCAAAACAAAAACACAAAAATTCAGTTTCTTTATTTTTTCCCCATCTAAATCCCACACATTATTATAAATAATTAAAAATCAAGTCAATTATACACACTACAAGAAAATACAGTTTTGGTGACCACTTTTGCCGACTAAAAATATTTTGGTTGCCAAAAGTTGTGGAATCGGCGACCAAAAATTATGTTAGTCGGTAAAAGTACAATATTTAGCTACGAATTTTTTTTAGTTGGGGTTTATTAATTTTTGGCGACTAAAAAAAATTTAGTCGCTAAAAATCTCACAATTGGTGACTAAAAACAATTTAGTCGCTAAATTTGCCACAATTGGCGATTAAAAAAATATTTTTGTCGCTGTATAGATAGTTTTGGCAACTAAAATAATTTAGTCGCTGAAAGAAAAATAAAAATTTACTTTTTATCTTTGGCGACAAAAATTTTGGTAGGCAAAAATGTAATTTCAGCGACTAAAAAATATTTTAGTCGCCGTATAGATAGTTTTGGCAACTAAAATAATTTAGTCGCTGAATGAAAAATAAAAAATTATTGTTTATCTATGGCGACCAAAAGTTTGGTCGGCAAAAATTTAATTTCAGCGACAAAAAAATATTTTAGTCGCTGTATAGATAGTTTTGGCAACTAAAATAATTTAATCGCTGAATGAAAAATAAAAAATTATTGTTTATCTTTGGCGACCAAAAGTTTGGTTGGCAAAAATTTAATTTCAGCCACTAAAAAATATTTTAGTCGTTGTATAGATAGTTTTGGCAACTAAAATAATTTAGTCGCTGAATGAAAAATAAAATTTTATTTTTTATCTTTGGCGACCAAAAGTTTGGCCGGGAAAAATTTAATTTTAGCGACTAAAATATTTTTTAGTCGCTGTATAGATAGTTTTGCCAACTAAAATAATATAGTCGCGGAATCAAAAATAAAAATTTACTTTTTATCTTTGGCGACCAAAAGTTTGGTCGGCAAAAATTAAATTTCAACGACTAAAGTATATTTTAGTCGCTGTATAGATAGTTTTGGCAACTAAAATTATTTAGTCGCCGAATGAAAAATAAAAATTTACTTTTTATCTTTGGCGACCAAAATTTTGGTCAGCAAAGATTTAATTTCAGCGACTAAAAAATATTTTAGTCACGGTGTAGATAGTTTTGGCAACTAAAATAATTTAGTCGCTGATTGAAAAATAAAAATTTACTTTTTATCTTTGGCGACCAGAAGTTTGGTCACCAAAAATTTATTTTCAGCGACTAATAAGTATTTTAGTCATTGTATAGTTACTTTTGGCTACTAAATTTATTTAGTCGCTGAATGGAAAACAAAAATTTACTTTTATTTTTGGCGACTAAAAGTTTGTTCGGTAAAAATTTATTTTTGGCAACTAAATAAATTTTAGTCGTCATATACCAACTGTTGCCGACTAAAAGAAATTTAGTCGCCAAATATCTAGTATAATTTTATTTTTAATCTTTGGTAACTACCTCATTTGGTCGGCAAATATACATTTTTGGTGACTAAAACACATTTAGTCGGCAATAAAACTCAATGTTTTTTGTGGGAACACATACTGCCCAATTTGAGTTCATGTTTAATTTTTTTTTGTCTCTTACTCTCTATCTCTTTCTCTCTTTGTCTCTCTCTCTCTCTCTCTTCTCTTTCTATCTCTTACTCATCACTCTTTTCTGTCTGTCTATCTGTCTTTGTCTCTGTCTCTGTCTCTTTCTCTATTTGTCTCTTGCTCATCTCTCTTCTCTCTATCTCTCTCTATCTCTCTCTCTATCTCTCTTGCTCATCTCTCTATCTCTGTCTCTGTCTCTGTCTCTCTCGCTCATCTTTCTTCTCTCTCTCTCTCTTTTTCTATGTCTTTCTCTCGATTATCTCTTTTTGCTCTCTTTCTCTCTCTCTCTCTCTTTGTCTATCTCTCGCTCATCTTTTGTTTCTCTCTCTTTTTCTATCTGTCTGTCTCTCTATCTCTCTCTCTCTATATATATATACCTCTTTCTCTCTCTGTCACTCTCTCACTCGTCACTCTTCTCTCTCTCTCTCTCTCTTTCTCTCTCTGTGTCTATCTGTCTGTCTCTCACTCATCACTCTTCTCTCTTTCTTTCTCTCTCTGTGTCTGTCTATCTCTCTCCCCCATTATGTTCATCTTGCTCATTCTCTCTCTCCACTCTTCTCTATTTATCGAGCTCTCCACTACAAGAAAATGCACTTTTAGCGACCATTTTATGTCTCTCTCTCTCTCGTTCATCACTCTGTCTCTCTATCTCTCTTCTCTATCTGTCTCTCACTCCTCTCTCTCTCACCACCCATCTCCTCTACCACCTTCACCACTACTGCAAATGCCATTTCACTACCACCATTATTATCACTGTTGCCACTCCATCTCTACGACTACCATTACTACCACCATCGCTACCACTCCACTACCACCACTGCTACCACCACTACTACTACTACTATTACCTTTCCTTCACCACCGCTACTCTATCTCCTCAATCATGACCACAACTTCACCACTAATCTCCTTCGCCATCACCACCACCACCACCACCACCTCACCTCTTATCCACCACCTTCACCACTACTGCTGCTCCCTCTCCTCTACTACAAAAAATTAGCTCTTGATTTTTAGTAACAAAAAAAAAAAGGGTCACAATAAATATTTTTCATCGACCATAAAAAATTAACTTTATTTTAATGAAAAATATTTTTCATTAAAATATTACCCCTACTTCTATCAAATAAAAAAAATTAATTAAAATAAAAATAAAACTATTCCCCCCTTCTCTTTTTCCGCCCGCCCAAACTTAATTTCCCCCTTTTTTTTCCCTCTGCCTTTTCCCCCATTTTTTTTCATTTCCTTTCAGGTTTGTAGAGCCCTTAATTTCACAATGTTTCAAAACAGTGAGCAAACCTTAATATGAGAGAGAGAAGGGGTCACAAAAAATATTATTCATCGACCATAAAAAATTAACTTTATTTTAACGAAAAATATTTTTCATTAAAATATTATCCCTACTTCTATCAAATAAAAAAATTAATTAAAATAAAAATAAAACTATTTCCCCCTTCTCTTTTTCCGCCCGCCCAAACTTAATTTCCCCCTTTTTTTTCCCTCTGCCTTTTCCCCCATTTTTTTTCATTTCCTTTCAGGTTTGTAGAGCCCTTAATTTCACAATGTTTCAAAACAGTGAGCAAACCTTAATATGAGAGAGAGAAGATAGAGGGTTTGAAGAGAGACTGGGGTTGAAGGGGAAGGGTTTCAGTCAGCGGCGAGACTAGTTCGGCGGCGAGACGGTACGCTTCTTTTGAGTCTTCTTTCGACTCTCATTCCAGTCGGTTCCTCTAATGACTGGGTTGAAATGGTTCCTCTATATCTCTATGTGACTGTGTATCCTTGGAACAACAATGATGTAGTTTTATAATCCGAACAGATCTTAAACCCTATCAAGCTTTTGACTTGATACATTGTTCAAGATGTAGAATTAATTGGACTCGTGATGGTATGCTATTCTCTCTCATAATTTAATTTATTATCTTTGTTGGGTAGAAAATGATTTAGTGAACAACTAATTAGGCATTAGAGTATATATTGGAAGTGTTGCACCTCCTATTGCTTCCTTGCAGAATTTCTCTCAAAGGTTAAATACAATTTTCATGCCAAATATGTTTCTTATTAACATCTTGTATTGTTGATATGGGTAATGGAACCACCACCTGCATAAAGATTGATGACTTTGTCAGTCTCAAACTGGCAAGTGAATGTCTGATATGAGATCCCAATTCTCTATGTTCCATCAGTTCTTTCCTGAAGTGGATCATTGATCACCGTGGGATTTCCATACCTTCAAACTTTTAGTTGAAAAAATTATAACCATCGAATAGGTTTTTATGCTAAGAAATGTAGTTTATGACAATTTTTCATTTATTGTCGACACTCTGATTCCGTGTATTTGTTAGTTGTTGACTGTAATGAAAGTTCCACCAGGTTTTGTTTTGACATGTGAAGAGCTTTGCCTCGACAATCACTTAGTATATGTATGTGTGTATATGTATTGTGTTGTAGCCTAATTCCTCATTTCACACTTCCAATTGATAAGAGATAAAGTAGTTTAAAAGGCAATTAAGCATTTTTATTTACCATATGATTCATATCTACAAGTTTATGACGCCAATGTGTAATCATTCTTGTTTATGCATTATAATTTATAACCTAGTTGTTCCATGTCGTCTATCCTCACTATTTTCCATGTGGCATATCATTATCATTGTGGAAATCTGTTATCTGGAAAGAGTAGTAGATATTATATGGGAAAATTGTTGATGTTCATTTGTGGGACATATTCTTATCATGCCTTTGCTTGTTTCTTTCATTGTGGCAAAGATGGAATTTTGCTGCTCGAGGTCAACAGGATGCTACGTGCAGGAGGATACTTTGCTTGGGCAGCACAGCCTGTTTATAAGCATGAATTAGCCCTTGAAGAGCAGTGAGAAGGCATGACTAAGCAGAATTTGTTTATAAAATAAGATGAACAGTTATTTTCACTTTAGTGAGTCTATAAGCATTTTTGAGTTTGAGTTTCGAATGTTTGCACAGCTTTCTGTTATACCCTTATATGAAAAATTGTGCACCTTAGTTTGCATTTGATCTCCCTGTTGAATCCCAATTGCTTACAGAGTGACTTCTACAATTGTTTATAACTTAGAAAAAAATTAAGGAATCTGAATTTGGTAACTACCCCAGCTTGGAGAACAAAAAATTTGCAAACTGGTTATGGTACTTAGATAAAATGGCAGGGAAAGGTCCTAAAGCATGTAATATGTTAGTTCATTTGGGTGCCCCATAATTTGTTTAATGAAGGTCAATCTTCCAGTGCATCCAAATGATGTGTTTCCATTGCATTTTATTGGTGGTCTAAATAGGAGTAACATGTACAGCACATCAGACAAGAAGTTCAGTTTACCGATCGTTTGTCTTCCTTCATCTTCAGAGATGATTAATCTTACAAGCCACGTTTGTTGGAATCTTGTGAAGGAGGGGTATATTGCAATTTGGCAGAAGCCCTTGAACAACAGTTGCTACTTAAGTTGTGAGGCAGGAACGCGACCTCCGTTGTGTGATTCAGATGATGATCTAGACAGTGTTTGGTATATTAACTGTCCTCTTTCTGGTATATTTTGGTGATGCAAATAGTACATTAAACTGCCTTGAATGGTTAAAGTTTTAGATCTCTATTTGACAACTGCTATGTCCGTAAGGCTTCTGAAGCATATTCAGTAGTATGACATGTTAACTTCATGCATTGTAGGCCTACAGCTACTGTAATTTATGTGTAACCATTGACATGAAATATTGACAAGCTTTATGTTTAGACCATCAACAGTAAAAAATGGGACTGTAAACCCTATTGACTTTAAGCACTTGGCCTAGTAATGACATGTACCCTTGGAATGACTATAAAGTCTAGTAATGACATGGTTCCCTGTGACTTTTTCTCATCCTGCCTTATCATGTCTTTTGGTGTTGTGGTCTTATCATGTGATGCATCAACCACTTTATCTCCCTGGTCAAGAATTTGAAAAGTAAAAAATGGTTTCTTTTTTTTTAATACTATACTTTATATATACCCTTACAAGTTACAAGTTATATAGACGATTTGGCTTCTAAGAATTGATTTCATGTGATTGTGTGCTTATTGATCCACAAAAAATATATATGTTGATTCGATTTTGTTTATGCAGATATTTGATTTGTTTGATGTGAAATGCAATGGGGTTAGGAGAATTTGTTAATTCATTAGGCATTTTTCATCCAAATGCACCTGTAGCAGACATAAATGAAGGACTCTGTATAGCCCTAAATAGATAAGAGTAACTGTTTTAATCTCAAGTTGAATCAGTTTTGCAGTCTTCAGCCTTGTGCAAGATTGTTTCCAATATTCAATGAGAAAAATAAGGAAATTTAGGACAAGTGTCCTCCCTAATTCAATGATCAAAGAAAATAATGGAACTAGTCCTGCAGAATTTTCATTTTCAGTATTGCATCACATAATTGATTTGGTGCATATCCACCTGAACGCTGCTTTTCTGAAATTATAGCTCCCTACCAGAACTGTCCCTTTTGAAGGAAACTTCAATTAGGGGTCTCTCATTATCTACTCCAAAGCTGAATTCAGTTTCTGAGAATGCAGTATGCTGTTTGTGGGACGGAGAACTTATAATTGTCTGAGAGTGTATCTTAAATAAGTATATTTCTTGTTTAGATTTCTGCTTGGAATATTTAGATGAACTTCTAGTTGTTGTCCTTTTCATCGTATAATATATTTCTTGTCTAGTAAATGGCAATAATTAAAATTGAATATGCATTTCAAAAGTTTATGCTTTACAAAAAGGTGATGTTATTGATATGCAGGGATCATTCAAATTTTGTCAGTTGTGTACAGTTTTGTACAGATGGTAGCAAGTTCGTTACGGTAAGCTCTGATAAGAAGGGTATAATATATGATGCGAAAACTGGAGAGAAAATTGGAGAGCTGTCCTTAGAGGATGGTCATAAAGGCAGCATTTACGCTGTTAGCTGGAGCCCTGATGGTAAACAGGTAATCAGTGTTGTGTAGATTCTCTCTTGAGCTGCTTCTAGTTGATTTTCTGTTCAAAATTTGGTTATTAAATTTTCAGATTTGATTTTTTGGATTTTTTTTTCTGAAACGTTCAAACACAGTGGACATTTATGTATTAAATATGGAAGTGATTGATACCCCCTCTCCCCACCACCCCCCCACACATGTGGGGGTTGGTGATTGGAGAAGGAAAAAAAAAAAAAAAAAAGGCCAATTTCAGGCCAGTGGGGGTCGTGGGGGTCCAAATCATTTTTCTAATAAATAATTGTTTTTCCCAGAAATTTTGCTAGTTTTAGACTGAGAAAAAGGAAATATTGCATCTGCAGAGGATCTGTTGAATTGTATAAGAACATTTTAGTGTAACACGGAACATCATTTGTTGGCTAAATTTTGTAATTGGGTTCTTTGCATGTTAGTAATATTATAACCGACAAACTTAGGGAATGGGAAGGTGTGGGGAACTACAGGATTGATTTTTTTCTTCTTTTTCCCCTTAATAGCACAAAATCAACTAGGTTGGACATAAATAATGATTATCTTTCTTATTCACTGAGCAGTGAACCATTCTTTCATGGTTTATTTTGTGTCTGCTTTTAGAAATGTATAATACATGCTCCTCCTCTCTCTGATATGGATCAGATTGGTAAAGTTGGCAAAGTTAAAAAAAAAATTAAAATTTTAATTTATTTTATTAATATAGCATACTTAAAGTTAATAAATTTGATAAAATTAAATATTTGATATAAAATAAATATTAAGTATTTAAAAATATGATATATAATAAATATATAAAATTATATGTTTTGAACATGTCCCCAACATGTCGTGCCCTGCATCTTTTAAAAATTTGTGTGTCCGTATGTCTGTGTCGTGTCACATATCCGTGTCCGTACTTCTTAACTAATAAGAGATAAATAATAGGGTAAATTATGTAGACCTCCCTCAAGTAATAAGAAATATAGATAGCTTCATAGTCTTGGCATGATTACACTGTACATACCTCAAAATTTAAATTCATTTAACACTTTAACACGTACAGTTTGTTAATCTCATGGATGGAAAATAGTGGCCATCGCGTTTATACTAAAATATCTATCATACCCTTAAACGTAGATAATTACTTATATCCAAGCACCAGTATTCCTTAATTGAATCACATTTTTCTAAAAGGAATCACACTCCATCTTCTCACTCTCTCTCTCCCCCCCCTGCTCCCTTGCAACCCCATCTATCTCAGCCACCCCACAACCTAACTCTCCCTCATCACTGAAGGTAGATTACCTTCAGCATAACTACGTCTGCTAATGTTTGCTAAGGTCCCCCAAGTAACTCTCCCTCATAACTGCTAATAGTTAGGTTGACAACGTCTTCAGCATCTGCTCAAACATAGATTACCTTCAGTACTACAAGTAATTCTATTTAGATGAACTGTCCCTTGGAATATTTCGAGTGTATCTTAAACTTTAATAACTTTTTGAAATGCATATTCAATTTTAATTACTGCCATTTACTAGACAAGAAGTATTTAGATGAACTTGCTACTATTTGATTTCTTGTAGTACTGCCATTTACTTTTTGATTAGTTACATTGTCTATCACACTGTTGGGCTATTGGTGTTTGCTACTGTTCGTTAATTTTAGGAACTTATTGTTTGAATAGGTTTTGATGCGTTATATTAGGACACTTAGCACCTGTAGTTTGGATACTCTGAAGGACTTCAATTATGAAACGGTTGAACCGAGTACATAAATGGTCTTAGGGGAGAGTTGAGCAGAATACTCACATTAGCACAACAAGACATTTCTGTAGTTGACAGGGAGAGTTGAAGAGAAAAGGAGATGGTTTGAGGGGATTCATCAAGCTGTAGGAGCCAAAGAAGGTGTCAAAATTGAGATATCTCTTGAGGTTTCAATCTTTACGGAGTTTTTCTTTTACATAAAAACTTTCTTTCTTATTGTACTCAAAGCCATATTATCCTTACACTTGTTAGGCTCAATTCCTTTAACCCAGCAAAAACAATGATTGATGAATTGATTACAAAGATTCAGTGCTTTTATATTTAATCTAATCATAACAAACTAATCTAACCATGGTTTAATTCTGACATCCTAACTACTTGAAATAGTTATGCTAGTTCTCTTTATAACACGTGAGCATGACTGAAGCTATATCCCTTTCTGTTCTGACTTTAGCTGCTCTGGCTGCGGCTAGTACTGCAGCCTTGCTGTGTTGACCTGGCCTGGTCTTGCTGCAGCTGGGGTTGCAGTGGCTAGCTCTGGCTTATGCTCTATTTTGATATAATGTGTACCTGTCACATTTACATGTAGTGACCATGGTTTAATTCTAACATCCTAACTACTTGAAATAGTTATGCTAGTTCTCTTTATAACACGTGAGCATGACTGAAGCTACATCCCTTTCTGTTCTGACTTTAGCTGCTCTGGCTGCGGCTGGTACTGCAACCTCGCTGTGTTGACCTGGCCTGGTCTTGCTGCAGCTGGGGTTGCAGTGGCTAGCTCTGGCTTATGCTCTATTTTGATATTATGTGTACCTGTCACATTTACATGTAGTGAGATTTGTTATTATACTTATAAAAATTTAATTACTGAGAAATATATCATGCATCCATAATCATGTCATATCATCATTGTAAATTTTTTTCCCTACTCAGCACAGCAAGTTAATATATATATAATTTAGGTAAAAATAAAGTGGGTGGTGGATTCTTATCATTCATTGTGTTCATGCCAATAGCTACAAAATTATAATGGATGATTCATGTTTTTCTACTTCTAAATCTTCATTGACAATGTGCCACAGTGTAATTTTGTTTCCTTTTCCTACCCCCTTAGCAGCTCAATGCTATTATAACTTTAATAGTCGGATCCATCATGATTTTTCTTGATTTTTTATGCTATTATAATTTTATGTCTATAGTTGTTAATTGGGTATTTTAGTTGTGGTTTCACTAATAGATAGCTTTTGCTAGAAAATTGAGTATCTTATCTTATCAGTTTCGCTAATTGATTTGTGTGTCTTTCTCTTTGCAGCTAGCAGAAGCAGTAAAAACACAATTTTCACGTGATTACAGTGATAACCTTGCTCTTGTTCGGGCTTATGAGGCCTGGAAAGAAGTTGAAATAGACGTAGCTGGATATGAATACTATTGGAAGAATTTTCTTTCTGCTCAATCAATGAAAGCTATTGATGCTCTGTGAAGGGAGTTCTACTCTTGTTCGGGCTTATGAGGCCTGGAAAGAAGTTGAAAGAGACGTAGCTGGATATGAATACTATTGGAAGAATTTTCTTTCTGCTCAATCAATGAAAGCTATTGATGCTCTGTGAAGGGAGTTCTACTCTTGTTCGGGCTTATGAGGCCTGGAAAGAAGTTGAAAGAGACGTAACTGGATATGAATACTGTTGGAAGAATTTTCTTGCTGCTCAATCAATGAAAGCTAGATGCTCTGTGAAGGGAGTTTTACTCTTCACTTAAGGAATATGTTTTAAATTTTAATGCTAAGTGGATGTGAATTGGATGATTATATAGATTACAAGCGGATTTTTAATTGAACGAATATGTAGTTTGGAATTACTTGTGGATGAAAACTTATAATAGTTGCTAACTTTAATTAAACAGGTTTAGAGTTTGATGATTTATATAGTTTGTTGAATGTTTATGATTCAGGTGAATTGTTGGTTTGATTGATTATTGTAAATTACAGATTGTATTGAATAGATTGGATATATTATTATGAATTATAAGTTTATTTTATTACATGTTGGCGCAAACATTCCTTTTGGCGACCAAAACTTTTTGGTCCTAGAATGTCACAATTGGCGACTAAACATTTTAGTCGTGGAATGTGATAATTGGCAACCAAATTTTTTGGTCGTGGAATGTGTCAATTGGCGACTAACATGTTTGGTCGGGAATATGTCACTTTTCGCAACTAAAGTGTTTTAGCGACTAAATGGATTAGTCGCAGTAATGATATATTTAGCGATCAAAAATTTAGTCAGCAAATTTAACTTTTTCCCGACTAACAAAAGTTTTGGTCGCTAATTACTTTTGCCGACCCTCAATTGGCGACCAAAAAAATAACCAAAAAAATTGGTCGCGAATAGCTTTTGCCGACTAAAAATTAACTTTTGTCGACCAAATTTTTAGTTCGCCAAAAATTGCGATTTTTCATTGTAGTGAATATGCCGACCAATTTTTTTGGTCGCGGAATGTCACAATTGGCGACCAAATTTGTTGGTCGTGGAAATGGGCGACAATTGCCGACCAAACTATTTGGTCGTTGAATGTGCGAATTGGCGACTAACATGTTTGGTCGGAAAAATATGACTTTTCGCGACTAAAGTGTTTTAGCTACTAAATGGATTAGTCGCAATAATTATATATTTCATGACTAAAAATTTAGTTGGCAAATATAATTTTTTCGCGACTAAAATATTTTTTAGTCGCTAATTACTTTCTACGACCCTCAATTGGCGACCAAAGTGGTGACCAAAAAAATTAGTCGCGGATAACTTTTGCCGACTAAAAATAGATTTTTGCCGACCAAATTTTTAGTCGGCAAAAGTGCGAATTCTTGTAGTGACACATGCAATATAATGTTAGTCAATGCATACACTGGACAAAAGTGGTTGAAGATAACCAAAGATTATTTGTCCTTGAATTTCTCTTTTCCCTTGTTTCAATACATTTTTAAGTATTGAATTATATAAAAGTTTCAAAACATGATTCTATAATTAATTATATACATGACCACTTTTATTTCTTATTTCTGTGAATTGTGTTCTTGTATAAACCCTTTTAATGACTCATTCTAATGCATCAATTTGTGATCAATTCAATCAATATAATCAATCCAAATACTTTTGATACAAGTTCCCATTCTTCCTTTCAAGGTGCACATGAAATGTGTAACTAGAACATAGTCAAAATTCCTGCAACAACAAAAGTAGCAGTAGTGACAATCAGGGACTTTTTGTCACAGTTTTTTGTGAGGTTTTTTTCATTCTGTCTTCTCTCTCCCGTGAGATTTCTTGTTTGAAGAAGATTAATAATTTTGAGTGTGTGTTTTTCAATTTGGAGAAGCAAAGATGGCTAATGCAGAAGTATTCAAATCGAAAATCACTGTATATGTGGTTGCTTGTTGGATTGTCGCAGCTTTTGGAGGCCTAATGTTTGGTTATGATATTGGAATTTCAGGTAATGCCCTCAACTATATTGATATAATTCTTTTATTAGAAAATCATAGATATATACATATATATATATTTTATTATATGCTTTAAAATAGGAAGTCTAAAAGTTATACACTAAATAATTGAAACAATTATTATTAAGTAATGATTCATAAAGGTTTATTGATGTTTGTTGCAAAATTATTATTTATATGTGAGTGTCAATGATCATTTTTCGTTTATGTGTTTGGTTTCTAATTCATTCGAGTAAACAATCGAATCTTATTATTTTGACTTTGACTTTATAGGTGGTGTGACTGCGATGGATGATTTCTTGATAAAATTCTTTCCAAAAGTTCACGAGAGGAAACTTCATGCAAAGGAAGACAATTACTGCAAATATGATGATCAGTTGCTTCAGCTATTCACATCATCACTGTACCTTGCTGCTTTGGTTGCAAGCTTTGGTGCATCAAAGGCATGTCGTATATTTGGTCGCAAGCCCACAATTCTAGTAGCATCCCTATTTTTCATTGGAGGAGTTGGGTTCAGTGCTCTTGCTGAGCACAAATGGATGCTCATTCTTGGCAGGATTCTTTTTGGCATTGGAGTTGGATTTGGCAATGAGGTATACTATTTTGTGCCTAAAATAAATTTTATATTTTAAGAATAGAGTGTCTAGGTGAGTTTGTCCACCCTCGACTAATCACAGAGCTGAAGTTAACTGACAAAATTTTAGATTTTGTCCTCAAATTTTTATTGTTTAATCAACCCTTTGAGTTATATTTATTTTACATAAAGTTTATGATAAATAAGGAAATTTTTTTTCCCCCCTAACTATAATCTATGATTCTAGGCTGTTCCAGTGTTCTTATCGGAGATAGCACCAGTCCAACACAGAGGGGCAGTCAACATTCTCTTCCAACTATTTGTCACAATTGGAATTCTCATAGCTGGCGTTGTCAACTATTTCACTTCCACCCTCCACCCAATTGGATGGAGGGTCTCCTTAGCCATAGCAGGCATTCCCGGCCTTGTCCTTTTCTTCGGCTCCATGATTCTCACCGAAACACCGGCTAGCCTTATCGAACGAGGCAAGGACACTAAAGGCAAAGCAGCACTCAAGAAAATCCGAGGCGTGGACAATGTGGATGATGAGTATGAAGAAGTGAAAAGGGCATGTGAGATAGCCAAGGAAGTGAAGCAACCTTTCAAGAAACTGATGAAGCGCTCGAGTGTGCCACCACTAGTCATAGGAATTATGTTACAGATATTTCAGCAGATGACTGGGATTAATGCGATTATGTTCTATGCACCGGTTCTGTTTCAGACCATGGGGTTCAAGAACGATGCTTCGTTGTTGTCTGCGGTGATTACTGGGACAGTGAATGTGGCAAGTACTTTTGTTTCAATCTATCTTGTTGATAAGATTGGAAGAAGAAAGTTGCTTCTCCAAGCCTGTGTCCAAATGTTCATTTGCCAGGTACTAAATTAATTTCACTTCTTTGTAATTACATTTAAATTCTTCTCACTTAGTGCTTGTACTAATTAATTGAATCCAATTTCAGGTATCAATTGGTGCAATTCTACTCACTCACTTGAATACTACTGGGACAATGGACAAAGGACTCGCTGTGGTTGTGGTGGTGCT